CCACGTAACCTCCAATGGCCTCAAGACGATGTTAAAACAGCACACTACAACCAACTGAAGCCAGACAGAACAACGGTGCACTTAGATACCCTGTTTATCACCCCCGACTGCCGTCAGCCATTATGAAGTGCCACCAGAAGGAGGGGTAGCATACACATGCCTAGCACCAGGCACTGAGGACAGTGCCTCAGAGAGAGAGGGGGTAGTGTAACGGTATTAAAAATCATCACACGTGACGTTGCTAATGCGAGTTTGTTTTCCTTGTTGCAGGGAAACAAAGAGTAAACGTACTAAAAGAAGAGGAACAAGCTTTACGCAAACTGAACCTGCAGAACAATCAATAAACCCATTCTGTAATAAGCTTTTCTTTTTGTACTCCAACCGCGTCTTTCAATTTTAAATATATTTCTGTTGTGCCAGTACGCCGTCTTCTTACTTCAGTGACATTTACCGGTCCTGACTGTTGTGTTGTGTTTCAGATCGCTCCTGCTTGCAAGTAAACGCTGATAGTACGTGCTACAACAGACATATCTCACGAAAAAATACTTTAGATTTGGGTCATCATTGTTCTGTTTACATACTGATATAACGTCCTTAGTATGAGTGTACTACGAAAATAACTATCAACCACAGAAGTCATACTACCTTATGTACTCCTTTCAAACAAGCCTAGAAATTGTCCCAACTTACAAATCGTCGCGATAACATAATATCACTGAAGATTTGTTCTATATCATGCATCATCACGACGGCATCGTTTTCGTTACTTGAAGGATGGATGTTATCAGACATAGTGTGGCTGAACTGAATTCAAATCTAAAAGTGTCTTGATTGGACCGCTTCTGCAAAACTTACCGAATTATCGATGTGGCGCACTAATCATCTAACGGCAGTTTGACCTTCAGGTGCTCGCGACCTCCATCAGTAGACGATACCCCTGAAGCGTTTCCGGAGTTCAGTACACACAGGGCTTTCTCTACTTCTTCCTCGAAAGCTTTTATCCTTGGTCACATTTCAATAGAAAGAAAACAGAATCCATTAACATCATACATGGTGATTTCAACCCCTTCTGATGGTGCCTCATAAAACCTAGTGGCAGGAGGTGGATCGGCGAACCGAGTATCAGAGGGAACTGTCACCCGATCTGGTTTTATTCGGTTGTAGTGCACAGTTATCACGTCATCCTGAGGTCGTCGTAAGTTGCGTAATACAAACGTAGTGGAGGATCGCATCTGGCTGCGCCCCCCATGACATCGATTGGGAGTTGAATTAAATTCCATCAGCTCTGGCAAGGCCCTTTTTAAATTTTCCTCGTTCGATCCCCGACTATTTTGTAAACCAGCCATTCCTTTTGTACATGGACCGCGAATTTTAATTTTCAAATAAAACTCGGCTTTAATTCCGTGTTCTCTCTTGGCGTGAAGTTCTCGGTTAACATTGTGTGTTGTGGTTTCAGGTTTTCTTCGCCTTTCAGTGACTGCTGATTACACGTATTACAACTGCCTGTGGATTTTTTGACCGGCGCAGGTGTTCATATTTTTTCCACATGCTCTAAAATATTGCTCCCCACACTCCTTCAGCACTCAAGGTACCTTCAAGATGAATGCAAACATATATAGGGTGGACTTTACACAAAGAACATATCAATTTATCTTTATTATTTGTCTCCACACAACTAGCTGGAACTAGCTATTTTATCGTAGATCATATTTTGAACACAAATTTAGTGTTTCTAATCAATGTTTCAGTTCCAAATGACGCTTACTCATTCCAGTATATCCGGTCAACATCCCCACGGGCCTACTGTTAGCTTTAGGCCAGTACTTTTATCAAGCTAATGTTAATAAACCCCTGTACAGTATCCATCGCAGTGATTTAAGTACAACAAGTAGGTGCTTGCATTTTGTGACTCCTGGTTACTATTTTTTAAGTTCCCTTCCTGACGGATATGACGCCACTACTTCTGGCGAGTCCCAGTCGTTGATCACTACGCAGAAATTGCGAGGTTCTAACTTGGATTTTGTGTGATATCCCACAGGTGATCAGTCCTATCGAATACTATAAGATAATAGAATTTGACAGTCAGCTCATGATACTATACCAACAGCTATAGTATAAGAACTGGAATGTTTACTGTATGTTGGTCACTACATTAAGGAAATGGAACAGTCAATTTACGTGTTTGTGGTTAGTTTTATGTGTGTTGACCTCATTATCGAATAATCGTTTATATACCATACGATAAATCTAAAACATACTCTCCTGTAGCCTTGAAATTTTTACCTGTTTTAACCAAGGAGTTGGGAGAGAATGTGAATAAATAAACTATTATAAGAAATCGAAAAAACTAACATGGAATTTACTGTCTTCACATGACCTATAAACATTTTTACGTTGGTTATTGGCCGTTAAATTTTACGGTCAGGATCGGTGTTCGAGCTGTTATTTAGGGTTTATGTTTATTATGACCCATAAACTTTAATCATACACACAACTAGTCTTTAGTCTCAGTTAGTTTTGCAATTGATCTATATTTTAACTTTTAAATCGTAACCATAGGCTCTCTTCATATCATAAATATTAATTAACGCCGAATTTTAGTCCTAAAATCTCCTATCTAACTCTGAATCCTAGTTCAAGTCATAATTTACAGTATCTAGTAATGCTTCCACTAAAATTCACCATGATGCGCTTGATACTCAATATCTTGGTTTGACGTTGGATAAGCTCCAAGTCAGATGAATATACGTTCCATGACTTTAAATTAGCGTTTTTGGTTCTTGACGTATTTGGTATTATACTTAAGGTTTACATAGATGAGTTACAGTATACTAACAGTATTGTCTGAGCCTTAAGAATTGGTCAGAACTCTCAACTTTTTGTCTGCAGCTGTAATACAATATTTTGTGCTCACTAAATGTTCCCCATAAAACTCACTTGTAACATGTTTATTCGGTAGTGAAAGTGTTGAGATTACGATGATATCCTATCGGGATTCGGTTTAAGTCCCAGTAGGTATCATCACTACATTAAGTATCCAAAGGGAAACGTATAGTGGAGTAGACCCTTTGTGTGGTTTAAGTCTTTGAAGTTGTTCAGTATTAACCATTTAGATCCTTTGACTATTGGGATACAAAGCCAGCGATTTCGTAATACTAATCGGTAACGGGGTGTGAAAGATGACGTGTGCTTATTCGATACTAGCCGGTTAACGTATCAGTTCGAGTTTCCAAACCTTACTTTAGTATGTCAGGAAGGAAATTTTCAAAAAGATGTTTCAAATTAAACCTCGTTGTAAACATAACATTAAAGCAATTTTAAAAGTAATTATAATCTAAGTAGTGATTAGTAGAATATGAAAGTCTAAATCACACACATTTGGCTTGGTTCGAACTTTTCATAGTATTAGAGATACGTAGGATGTACTTATAAAGTTAAATCTAGCTGTTGACAAAAAATAAATAAAGTCCCATGAAATACAGTTATTTATGGTTGGAAGTCTAAAATTATAAGTTGGTATGGAATTATCACTCAGTACTGTAGAGTACTATTGCAACTAATAAACTTTCTATCAAATCACTAAATAATGACCGATCAATTCTGCTAAATTATATGGGCTTTACTCTGCTTCAGATCAAGGACTGTATTTCGTCAACATTTTCTTATGTTTTTCTGTATTGGGTTGTGGAGGTTGTTGAACTTCATCCAAATCATGAACCGATCTAAGTTGAACAACTGTTGAATGCCGGCTAATTGGTCTGGAGATTAGACGTTCGCGTTCAAAACTGGGAGTTCTGGATTGAAGCTCCGCGTGCAGGATCGTGAATATGGACTTCCGAAGAGTCCTATACTATGACGAATTGGCTGTCCAGTGCTTTCAGATTTTCAATGTCCTAACTTAGATCGGTTCATCGTTTCATTGAAATTTCCATTGTTTGCTGTATGAAATTCTAGATACGTGTTTTCGAGAATGAGATCTCCTAAAGTGTCGTTAGGTTTGGTGGAAAGGTCCCGCCAGATGTAGCATTTGCTTATGCAAAGCACTGTCATTCTTGTACTCTACAATAATGTTAGAAATGGGACCTAATCTGCAAACATCCAATATCGTTCTAAGTTTCTAATTTTTCCCTCACGAAAATGCGTTTTCTACTGTTGTCAATTCTCGATATACATACTTTTTGGTCTCTTAACTAGCTAATCCTTTCTGCAAACCCATTCATTCTCTCAATTATCGGCTTATTTGTGTGCGCTGGAAATCGTATATATGAACAGAACTATCATTACTCAAACCTATCTTAAATTTAGAAAATATGATTAGTTGGGGATTCGATGTGGGGGTTGATGTGATAATTCGGTAAATATATGTAGAAATGTTTACGACTAGTTTATAACCTATAGATTATAGATATTTAATCTGTGAGACAAGAAAATTTGATGGTAGGGATTTATTTGACAATGCATTCACCGTTTTCTGTGACTAAGTTTCGTTTTCTTTGTTTTTTTTGTAAGTTAGTGATATAAAATTGACTTTTACACTCTACATTGTTGATATTTTTGTTTTATTCTCTTAACGAGTGAGGATGAGAAACAGCACTTTTCACTAGGCCTTTGTTCAACCTAAATATTTAAGTATTTGGTTCTAAAATTATTATTCACCATATTTTTCTTCGTATTCTAAGTTTCTATTATGCGATATCATTCATTATTTGTTTGAGACTTAATTCTGTGTTGTTACAAATTTGTGTGTATACCGTTTGCTTGCTTAGAAGGAATACATTCAATTATAAAAGAATGGTAGTACTCACTTGTACACAAATCACCAAATCGTCTTGTCACTTTTCATTAACATATGTGAGTTCATATTACGCTTGTTTGGCTGCTGCTTATTGATTTCCAACTGAAAAGCTAGTTCTATCAGTGTGACTTAATACACACACCTGTACCATTTAACTGTCAATGATTTCTTTTACCTAACAAACGTTTTTTTAGGATTATTGCCAATGACTGAACTAGCTTCGAGCTACGCACAATCCAGCAACTATGTACGAAAACCGGACCACACTTTGAAGAAAAAAAAGCAAGTTCCTCCCCCCAAATATTTGTGTGTTCCCGGTTTATTGGCACTTTTGGATAGGTAAATTTACAACTATGAGGTTTACATTCTACTTATGTAAAGGATTTCAGTTATTGATAAATCTAACTCATTATGCAGTGAAATCAAATGGTAATCAATTTATATTTTTTTCATCCGACTTATGTCAATATGTTAGCTTATTTCAAAACAATGATATAGATATCGAAGTTGAAAGACTGCAAGCGCTCCAGAATGATCCCGACCCTAGCGTCGTCCAGTTAGAAAGTGAATCTAAAGCCAAATCTTTGAAAATTGGAAAATCTCGTCGTCTATTAAGGAAAGAACTGAAACACGAATGGTTAAAAGTTTCGGATTGCCGTGTTTTCTGGTAATTGTACTTTTTAGTGTTGTGATTTTTGATACAAAAACGTTTATTGTTGTCCTATAATACTTGTTCGGTATTTGGTGATGACTAAAACTTCAACCGTAGGCGATAACATAAACTGAATTACAGGGTAAGATCTATATATATGGGTGGGAAAAGTAATTCAGTTTGTGTGAATGTAAACTTGTACTTGCTTAGGCGAGGGCTTTAAATGTTATTCATATTAAAACACCTATCTCGGTATGTCTGGTGCTAGCTAAATTAAAATCAGTTTTGAAGAGTTACTTTAGAACAAGACGGAAACGCGTGAAGTAAATGAAAATAAGAAGGGTATGTGTGAATGGGGTCTTCAAAATGTTAGAAGTCTGCATTTGGTGAATTAGCGAAAAAGTGATATTACTGGTTAGAATGCCTCCACCGTTCATCTACTGGATGCTTGTCATTTTATTATACGATTTATTCTATACTCGTGTTTATTTTAGCACATTTCCTAATTTCTTTTGATTTCTCCATGTAGTTTTATTATTTTATTATTTAAACAGATACATTGGTACAAGGAGACACTGAATAAATATGCGCCACATAAATCATTCGATTTGCGTGCGGATTGGGATACTTCTCAGTTGTCGGAACCGAGGCACGTGGTTTTCTTAGGGGGCCACTCCTTGAGCCTTTGACTCAAAGGTCTAATCCACAAGGTAGTGGAGCAGTCAGCAACAATGTACAACTTCGCACGTACGTACATCAATTCAAGTTGCCATACCGCATCAGCACAGAGATACAATTGTCGATTCAAACCCCATAGTGGTAGAGGTAGTAAGAGTATTAGCAGTAATCGGAAAGACTAGGGTTTGAAGATGTTATTCAATGAGTATAATACAGTGAAATAAATTTGGAAAGAGAAAAAAGGACATGAAGAATTCAGAAGATTTGGATTTGGGAGACCACAAAGAGTGGATAAACATGCACCATTGCAAACGATTTTGAGTCATATCATTCAAGGTCTCTAACCATCGGTTGCTATCGTCTCGCGGATCCCAACCAGGTAGTCTACACATACCAAAATGGCTCAGTCCACTTGTCAGTGACTTCATGGATTTGTGCCATGTTTTGGTCTGGCCGCCCCTAGCTTTCTTCCAACCTACTCCTGTACCATTGAACATCGCACGTCGAGGCAGCCGGTCGTTGGGCATACGTAACACATGTCCCAGCCATCTCAACTGATGAAGTTTCACTACTTCATCAATTGATTTGCCATCCTTACCTAGTACCCGTTTCCTAACAACTGTGTTACTTACTCGATGGTCCCATGACATACGAGCAATGTTTCGAAGACACCTATGATCGAATACTAGTAACCTACGAATATCCTCTACTCTTACCGGCCATGTTTCACTGCCATAAAGTAGGACGGAACGAACTGCTATGCAGTAAACACGTCCTTTGGTTGATAGACGGATATCTCGCCTACGCCATAAATGACGCAAGTTGGCAAGAGCTAGTCGAGCCTTCTGTATCCGTGCTGAGATTTCTTCACACACCAGACCACAAGGGCTGATGAGACTCAAGATAAGTGAGGCTCAACTACTTCATTCCCTATCATTAATGTAGGTGCTGATGCAACACAATCCTGAAGCAACATTTCGAGGGAGAGAATCGCATCCCGAACATGCTTGCAATCGCAAAGATGCTCCACCTTCTATTGAGAAAGATTTAGGAGGAGGTACAAGTGCCGATGGACTGGAAAAAAGGATACCGCATCAAGATTTTAAAGAAAGATCTGAGCAAATGTGAAAACTACGTAGGTATCACACTACTGTCAGTACCAGAGAAAGTCTTCAACAGAGTGTTGCCTAACCGGATGAAAGATGCAGTAGACGCCCAACTTCGAAATCAACAGGTTGGATTCCGTAAGGATCGGTCGTGCATAGACCGAATTACGACACTACGGATCATCGTCATACAATCAATTGAGTGGAACTCGTCACTGTACATCAACTTCATTGATTATGAGAAGGCGTTTGACAGTGTAGATTGGAGAACATTACAGAAACTTCTTCGAGACTACAGAGTTCCTGAGAAGATTGTCAATATTATCCGGAACTCATATGATGAACTACAGTGCAAGGTCGTGCATGGAGGACAGCTGACAGATGCATTCCAAGTCAGGACCGGAGTCAGACAAGGCTGTTTACTCTCTCCCCTCCTCTTTCTTTTGGTGGTCGACTGGATTATGAAGACCTCGATTTCTGAGGGAAAACATGGAATACAACGGACAGCTCAAAATCAATTAGACGACTTGGACTTCGTAGATGACCTAGCCCTCCTATCGCATACACATGAACAAATGCAGATAAAGACAGCCAGCGTAGAAGCAGTCTCTACATCAGTAGGCCTCAGCATACACAAGGGGAAAACCAAGGTCCTCAAATACAACACAGAGAACAGCAATCCAATCACACTTGATGGCGAAACTCTGGAAGATGTAGAATCCTTCACATACCTGGGAAGCATCATCGATGAATAAGGAGGTTCAGATGCAGATGTAAAGGCGAGGATTAGCAAAGCGCAGCATTCCTACAATTGAAGAACATGTGGAACTCAAAACAACTTTCAACCAATATCAAAGTGAGAATCTTCAATACGAACATCAAGGCAGTTCTACTGTATGGAGCTGAAACTTGGAGAATTACTACAACCACCACCAAACATGTACAAGTATTTATAAATAGTTGTCTACGCAGGATACCCAGAATCCATTGGCCGGATACCATCAGCAACATCCTTTTGTGGGACCGAACAAACCAGCTTCCAGCTGAAGAGGAAATTAGGAAAAGACGATGGAAATGGGTAGGACATGCATTACGCAAATCGTCAAACTGCATCACGAGGCAAGCCCTAACTTGGAATCCTGAAGGAAGGTGGAAAAGAGGAAGGCCAAAGAACACATTACGTCGGGAAATAGAAGCAGACATAAAAGGGATCAATAACAACTGGGAAGAGCTAGAAAGCATTGCCCAGGACATGGTTGGATGGAGAATGCTAGTGAGCGGCCTATGCTCCTTCACGAGGATTAACAGGCGTAAGTAAGTAAAGTAAGGTCGAAAACCAGCCTGGTTTTCTCTAGTCTGCTCTTCATGAGCTTTAGTTAGGCGTCGAAGTATTATTGAAGCTAAGATTTTAGGCACTATATTAGTCAAACTGATTCCTCTGTGATTGTTACAAGAGGACTTTTGTCCTTTCTTATGAACTGTCACAATCAGTGATTGAGACCAGTCAGACGGGATTACGTCAATTTCCCAGGTTCTGTCTAAGACCTCAGTCAGTCTCGCTGCTAATACTGGACCACCATCCTTAAAAATCTCAGGGTAAACCTGTCAGGGCCTGCTGCTCTTCTACGCTTCAGATTTCCTATCGCTTTTTCACCTTCGTAAAGAGTTGGAGGACTTAAATTAACTTGCCATTCAAGTCGACTGGGGATCGTGAGAAAACGAAGTGTGACTGAATGCCAGTTGAACCGACCCCTAAAGTGTTCTGCCCATCGATCCAACCTCCTGGATCGAGAATGAACAATGTGTCCATCTTTTTCGGAGATAGTTTCACTAACAGTTGGGTTCCTAATTCCGGTTTCCTTGACAAGTCTGAACAGTTGTCTGTTGTTGCCTATCGCCGCTGCCTTTTCCATCTCTCTTGCTTTCTCTACCCGCCACTGTTCGCGACCATTGCGTATGCTTTTTATCAGCCTGCGCTTAATCTGACTCCACTCTTCGTCATGTTCAGAGCCTGATGGGATGAGTTTCCGAGTATCTATCAGTGCGGTAGATGCTACTGAGATTCAGTGTTTCTCCCTAACCTTATGATTTACCTTACTAGCAGATATCACTGCTGTTTTCATTCGAAGCTACCTCGGGGTGGGCATCACATACATGGCTGCCTAACTTTTTCTAGTTCCTGAAATATATTCTTAGCTTGGCAATCATTGAGTAGAACCCTGAGAGGTTTCCTGGCAGCGTCTTCCCTACGTCTAGTAAGACGCAGACAAATACGCGCTCACAATAGAGCATAGTTTGAATCTAAGCATGTGCTCTAGAACGAGCGACAGTCTTCTATCGAGCTACCTCATCTGTGGCTAATAGCGATGTGATCTATTTGGGTCCAACGTTGGGACGAATTAGGAGGTCGCCTTGTCAAAAGATGTTTCTCCTTATGCTTAAAGTTAGTATTTGCTGGAAATAGGCGGTTATCTGAGCATAGCTGCAACGGACGGTCACCATTATCTGTTCTTTGAGCCACGACTCCATAACATCCACCCAGGTCTTTCCTTTTCGCTTAGTTTACCTACTTGAGCATTAAAGTCACCACCCACCATTACTACATCAGAGCTCAGTAGAGGAGCGTAAGGAGATACAGTCCCATGGTAGCCGGTGACCAGCAGTAGGTTCATATGCCATTCGTTCCATCAAGATCCTGGAGCCCATGTGCACCATTCGTGTGGAATAAGGTTTACCAATTCTCCTAGGTGGGTCCTTCGTATCCACCAACCCGGTTAGAGCGCCGAATATTCTCTTTTTTCCTCTCAATTTTGTAAATAACACCCCCACCGCAAGAAGGCATTGGTTGTATGCACGTGGCCATATGGGAGCACTTCGAGAAAGAGAGAAAGCTGACTCCCCACTCTCGGCCGTACCAGGGAATTTGGGGGCTAGTGTAGCAATTTAAACCACCAAACTCTTGTAGCATGTTTTATATTATTACACTGTGTTTTCATTCAATGTTACGGCTATTATGTCCATAGTTATTGCTTCGAGCATTAAGTTATAAGGACTAAACTAAGTTGTATATTGTTTAACATAAAGTAATACTTCGGTAGCTCAAATTAAAGCCACTTAACCAAAATTTAAAGTGCTGATTGTATTTTAAGGTTGGTTCTGTGGACCTATATTGGTGAATATTAAACGCTCACACATAGTGCTCGTTGCAGGTGACTTTAATGCCCACGTAGGTAGCTTAAACCAAACAGAAAAAACATTTAGGTTGACATTTCGGTACTCCGACTCAGTCAACAGATAATGATGACCGTCTGCTGCAACTGTGCCCAGATGATCGTTTATTTCCAACAACCTCTAACTTTAAGCACAAAGACTCAAATAGACCATATTGCCATCAGTCATCGTTGGAGAGGCTCAGTAGGAGACTGCTGCTCGTTCTGTAATACATGTTTAGACTATGACCATGCTCTAATAAGATCAAACATTTACTTACACCTTACTGGACGTAGAAAAGTCGCGATCAAGAATACTCATTAAAATTGAACTCAACGACGAGAAAGCCAAAGGTAAATTCCAGAAACAAATGAGGTCACACTTAGGCCATTTCGAAAGTGAGGCTGACCTAGATGTTACTTGGGAAGATATACGAACAACAGTGACATCTATTAGTGATTTGAACCAAAGAGTTACGAAAAACCAGTGGGTTTCTGCTATATCTATTGCATTGATAGACTCGTGAACTTATCCATTCAGGCTCCAAAAATGATGAGGAGCGGAAATAAATCAAATCTAAGACCGATGCACATATCTGCCTGGTCCTACGTTGTGACTGACTGACTAACCAAAAGTCTACGGAACGATCGTGAGCAGTAGTTGGCAACGAAAGCAAAAGAGATGGAAAAGGTAGCGGCTGTAGGTAACACAAAACAGCTTTTCAGACTTATAAAAGAAACCGGAATTAAGAATTTAAATGTGAGGCAATCCAGGAAAAAGATGGCACTCTTAGCTGCTCTCAGTCTAGACGTTTAGGACGATGGGCGGAGCACTTTAAGGATCAGTTCAGCTACTGTACAACTACCCATCTGGTCAGCCTTAGTGAGTTGGTGTCTGACGAAATCTCTGCACGGATTCAGAAAGCTCGTTTGACTTTTGTCAACTTACATCACCTATAGCGAAGGTGATATATCTGTTTACCAATCAAGGGAAGAGTATACTGCACAGGAGTTCGTTCTGTTCTACTTTACGACTGCGAAACGTGGCTATTAATAGTAGAGGATACTCGTAAGCTACTAATATTTGACTACAGATGCGTTATAGAAATATTGCTCGCATCTGCTGGGATCAGCGGGTAAGTGGTAGTGAGGTTAGACGCAAGTTATTAGGGAATGATGGTAAATCATTTGATGAGGTTGTGGATTTTCGCCGACTGAGATGATTGGGCCACGTGTTGCGTATGCCTGAACACCGATTACCACGACGTGCAATGCTAACCGGTGTTGGGAATGGTTGGAAGAAAGTTAGGGGCGGCCAAACCAAAATGTGGCATCAGTTCATAAAGCCACTAACTTCTAGTCTGAACCATGTTGATAGATGCAGACCACTTAGTTGGGGTGCACGTGACTATCGTAACCAATGGTTGGAGACTCTCAGTGACATGACTCAGAATCGATCACAATGGCGTAGGTGTATACACTTTTTGCCTTCCCTTAAACCCTAAGATAAAAATACCTTTATATCCCTTCCTAGGAACTAATTCTTTTTCCCTGTATCATATGCTTATATGAAATCTCTTATTTACTAACATTGAAATAACTGCTTCTATGAATTTGGTGTTCTTCTTGTTGTGTCAAGGAGGTATGGCAACTAGGACCAATGCATATATGTACCTGATCCTACGTTGTAGATGACTGACTGAATGGATATTAAGAAAAAAACTAAAATATTTTTTTGGGGGGGAGGAGAACCATTTTCACCTTCTAACTGATCCAGTATCTGTTTATTTAGTTATACGTTTTTGTATGCCTATAAATTATGAATGCGATTCTCTGACGTCGTCAAAGTGTTTTTCTTTGAATCTCTGTTGATTTTTGAGTACTGGGATAGGTCTCTTTGATTGTTTGTAGTATATATCATTCTGATCATTATGAATGGTTTTAAGATCATTTTTGCTGCACAGTAAACGAGTGTAGGTAACAAATTTTAAATCTAACAAATTGTTTCCTAGTTGTTATTTTTTTACGGCTACTCGTTGAAGTCTGCATGACACACCGATAGGCATATTACATGTTCATTCTATATATGGTAGCAGAGCACGATATTTTATTAATAGTGAGGAATACCTGACGACGGATATTTGTGTACCCGACAATCGTAACCACCACTTACATTTCTAAATATTTGGAGTCTTCACTGCAACGTGGTTAATGAAAATTTTTCTTAACGTGAAATCATGACGTACTATCTCAATGAATTGAAGACTTATCCTTCAGTCCCTGTAATTCGAACCTAATCTCATAAACTCGAGTTTCGGTAACTGAGTGTCATCCCTGATTTCTACACTATTATGATTTACAACATAGTGTTGGTAAATGTGCTTGAGTACTGAATTTGCTAATAATTTAGTGTTTAGTGCCAAAATATTTACTTTTAGTTCGTTGTAAATAATGTGGACTAAACTTAATTTTAAGGTTAGTATCGCGTGCTTCTTCATCATACATGTACTTCGATATGACTTTCATTTTAATAAATTTGGGGATTTCTATTTATGTTTCCAAAGTTTTACAATGATGATACCTACTACTTTTCATTGCTGTGTAATCTTTTGAATCTCCATTTTATAGTTCATAGTTTTTAACACTCCTTTACACCGAAAATAGTATTACTCCAACAAAATTTTATTGCTTCAATCATTAGGTCTCACATATTGCTGGGTTCAAATGAGATTATTCGATGTTTAGAGAGTTCTGCGTGCAATAAAAGTGAAAATAGCCAGGAAACTCAAGGAAGGAGGATATCATGCGTTTTCGTTGATTCTGGTTGGCTGGCATCACATTATGGTCACCATTTGGCGAACTTGTGTACTCTGTTGGATATTAGATTAGTGGCAATCAAACCGACAGGATCACTACCTGAGTTAGTTACAACTAAGTTTAAACCTGTAAAAAAGGTAATTCCTTTTTGCCAATCATACCATTTCAATTTCGTTACATTTAATATATTTATTTTTCCCCTTAAAGTTTCGAAAATAGTCTACTACTGCCTATTTAACAGTAATGTTTTAAAAAAACTTTACAATTCTTACTAGATTTCTTCATAAAAATACTTTGATTAGTCTGAGTTGTCGAACATCAGTTTTTTAATACGAGTGTTAGACTCCATATTTTTCCTGAACATAGGTTTAGTAGCAGATTGTTTTACACAATGTTAAGCTGTAATGATCTGCTTCGAGCTTCAAAAATACTGACGTGTATTTTCACCTCGATTATCCTTCTTATCACTCAGCTAAAGCAAACAAAGATCCTGTGACAAGTGTGCGTCGGCCTAAATTGCCAAGCCACATTTGCATGACGAATCGAAAGTAATAAGATGAATACCAAAGGAGTCGAAATAATAGTAGTATCAATGTTATTGACAAAGGCTAAAGGTTGAAAATATGGCTCGAGAAGAAGGAACGTAAATATATGTATGGAGAGATACTAAAACTCAAAATCTAAAGAAAGATAAAGAATAAATGGATGTGCACTATTGTCAACGATTCGAAGCCGTTTTATTCAATGTCTCAAAATACTAATATGTTATTTTGTGGACCCCGACCAGGTGAACTGCATCCACCACACATAGGTTAGACCAACAGTAACCTACCTCGGGTTGGTTTCACGTCTTGATTTGACCGTTCTTAGATTTATTCCGATTTAGTCTTGCTCCAGTCAATATTGAACTTCGAGGTAGAGGGTGTCTGAGTATACACAACACATGTCTCAATTACTTCAGTCGATAAGGATTCACAACCTCACGAACCGGTTGACCATCTTTGTCTAATAACCTATTCCTAACCTCAGCATTGTTCACTCGGTCGTTCCACAACATGCGAGTAGTGCTTTGAAGATACTTATGGTCAAAAGCCTGCAGCCCATTCATGTCTTCTACTGTCATAGACCACGTTTCTCAGCTATAAAGTAGTGCAGAGAAGATTGGTGAGCTGCATACAGGCCCTTTGGTTTGTAGACAGACATAGTGCTTACTCCACCAGTGACCCTTAGTGAATGTAAGCTAACTGAACTTTCTGAATCTGTGCTGACATCCTATCAGACACCAACCTATCAAACCAAAAAACGCAACTGTCGTTGTAGATCGGTAAGTACTCTTAGTTCTAAGACCAGACGAACAGTAAATTTCAAGTTAACATATTTACGTCCGGGTTTGATCTCCACGAGCCCTAGTTAGGCGGTGGATGATAATAGAAGCTACTATTTAAAATACTATATTAGTCAACGTCTTTCTGTGTTTTGTCGTACAAGTTCAAATTCAGCCTGATATACGTAAGTAAAAGTCTGAATTTTACACTAATATATAGCATTTACAACAATATTGTTGTACTATTTAATTGAGTAAATTCTGTTTTACTAAGCCATAAAACGTGTGCATGCATTACACTCTAAAATACTTTGTAGTAGCTAATTACTTTTTAATTCACTCAGACAGAATCAGGTCAAAAAGGAAAACCTTTACCTTGTAGCTTTAAAAGTCGTTCCACCTACTGAGGTGCTTAGTCAATCCGGTAGCTTCATTAGTCCTCATACGAACAAAGACGTGTCTCAGAACTGAGTAGGTGAATATGTATTTGGTCAACTAACCGCATTACCTCCTGTAAAACATTTTAAGTTGGATAATATACCCAAATCTTTGTTTTACTGGTATTTATGTAAACTCAGAAATGCACATTAAATTAGCCTTAAAATATTACTTATGTTCAACTGTCTGTTAAATAACTTCAGTTGCATAATGTTTATAATCTTGTTTCAAATTTTTGGAGCTGGCAGTTTTGGGGTTTTGCCTATCTAATGAGATTCCATCAGATCTCTCTGACATTTGTAAACAAATTGAGATCAAGTTTCCTACACTTGGTGATACCACTAGTAGCATTGCAGCTCCAATGGACATTAAAAAACGCGAGACTTCATATAAAATGGCTATTAATTGTTCAAAAGCCGTAAGTCATACCCTTACATTTCTAAAGACTTAATTAAGTCTCCCATTTCAAATTTTTTATCATTATGTATATAATCGCAGAAATACTTAATGTTCATTATTAGGGAATGATGGTAAATCAGTTGATGAGGTTATGAATCTTCATCGACTGAGATGGTTGGGCCACGTATTACGTATGCCTAAACACCGATTACCACGACGTGCAATGCTAACCGGTGTAGGGGATGGTTGGAAGAAAGTTAGGGGCGGCCAAACCAAAACGTGGCATCAGTGCTTGAAGTCACTAACTTCTAGTCTGAGCCATGTTGGTAGATGCAGACTACTTGGTTGGGGTCCGCGTGACTTTCGTAACCAATGGTTGGAGACTCTTGGTGACATGGCTCAGAATCGATCACAATGGCGTCGGTGTATACACTCCCTGTCTTCCCTTAAACTAAGAGATTAAAATCACTTCATATCTTTCTTTCTACGAACTAATTCTTCCTTCCTATACTATATCCTTATTGCAACCTTTGACCTAACCACTCCTACGAATCCGGTGTTCATCTTGTTGTGCTAATGAGGTATGGCAACCTGGACCGATGCACATATGTGCCTGGTCCTACGTTGTAGCTGACTGACTGACTTAATGTTCATTGTTATATATAACTACTAAGTGTTTGCATTTAATGTGCATTCATGCTACATATTTTTGTTGTACATTTTTCGTGACCTTTTATTCGTAACACACTGTTTATCCTGTTGTACTCATCTAATCTATAGCTACTATCTAGTCACATTGGTCGAATTTTTCTCTAGTGGTGATCCAGTTATGATGGACCCTCTGAAACACTAGTTTTTCTGTGGCATTAAGGTTGATCAGAGGGTGTTGAGACTAAAATCTATTGTCATAATGTAAATAATCTAGTTTGCAATGCGGTTTCAAATGACAGGCTATATTGGAACGGAAATAAAATGGTGGTAAGGGCTTCCTTCCAAACATCCAGAATACTAAGCTAAGAAAACACTTCTTGACTTAATTTCTGCCAATGCACTGTCTGGATAAATGATTCTGTTAAAATTCAGTAAGCTGAAAAGTTCAGTGATGCTTTTTTTTCACACAATTACTGATCGCAGTACAGGTAAAGTTAAAAGGTGTTGGCCTTTGGAAAAGAAAACGTAAAGATATATTTACTTTAGCATATAAGCTAAGCTAAGTTAAAACCTGTTTGGGCAGTGTGTTTTGCAGTTAAGTACTGATCAATTGATTAAAGTAGTCTCTATATTGGCTTCAACTACTGCTTGTTTGTGACAGATATTCATTGAAAGTATAGGCGATTGCATTGTTCGACATACTGGTTATCGATATTCTTCTAACAATAAGCTTAGATAAATCACATGATTATTGATCATCACATGACCAGTTGATGTACCACAACACACTAGAAGTGCTTTAAAGATCTCTGCCCTCCTTTAATTTATACTTCCACGGTAGTATGCCAGAAGAGACTGCAAATTTGCGTTAAATTCCCTTTTATTAATGATTATTTGAATATTTCTTGAAAGCTACAGATTAGATTTTTAGGAGTGACAGTTTAGTCTCTAACATTGAGGTAAAAGTGATTTCATACAATCATTCATGTGACTGCCTGGATTCAGTTTAAAGTTCTTGGATAGTGAGACCCGACTGTTGACAGCTTCATTTAAGAAAAAAACAGCCATATTACAAAATTTCTTCAAGCTATCGTTTCTAACCGATAAATTGTTCTATAAATGGCTGTCATTATGTTTTAATATATTATGGAGTGCGACTTGTCAAAAATCTTCCCAGGTTTACTTTCATATTCTGGGTCCGTTGAATCTTTCTACGTCTAACGTCAATAATGATCGCACCAGTTTAAGTCAGCTTCTCAGCGATCTTGATAATTTAATCAGCAGTCGTGAATTTTTGTTCATGTCTACCCAAGTTTGATCTGAAGACAATGGAATATTAGTAATAACGTTTGTAAGTAAGTCCCATACTGTTGTGAACCCATTTCCAATATTAAATGCATTTGCTCTCTTTATTCATGCTTTCTTATTTCAGTCTTCATTAGTCGAAAAAAAAGAAAGTTGGGAGGATGTTCAAATTAGTTCAAAATTATATGATTATAGTTCACCACCCCATAAATTTACTATCACTGAATTTCAGTCATACCTATCTTCTCTCATTCTTCAGTCATTTGAAAGTGAAATTGTTCATGGTATGCTTGATAGTGACAATCAATCTAACTTTGAATACAGTTATGGCTTTTGTGCGTATAAACCACCTGTGTTAAAACGGGTTGTCGCTCGAACAGAACGTAAAACTCGAAAGCGAAAAACGTTTGCATCTGCCAATTTTCAGCCAAAAACTCCAGTAGAAAAAAAGACAAACAATGATACATGCTATGAGGTAAAACAAGAGGAGGTGCTACCTATAGTTTGATAAATCCACTTTATTACTGAATTTTGTAAACCTGTGTAACCGGTGTGTAATAAAATTTCATTTATTCTCTTTAACTTTGTTTTGTTATCATTTAGTTGTATGTGTTGGTTAATATGAATTGTTTGATAAGAAAAGTAGTTGGTTGTGGTAGATTTTAGATTCACTTTTATTTACGTTGGCACTGCAATCTGTCAATGTCATTCTCCGATGTGACCACCCTGATAACTCTCTCATTCGACTTAAGCAAACAGCGTAAAACACAACATTAGGCAGAAAAGATGTATATTCATAGCGAAAAGTTACAAAGTGTTTACATAATACACATGCATAGCTTTCAATTGTCCATTTGCATCCTTCTGTGTGTTCTGCCACCTAAACTGTCTTCTCAACTGGTTTCCATGTGTTCTACCAACGCCGTACTTTTGATGCACAGAAACTCTTCACTCCGTCTGACAATTATTGCAACTTTGACGCTACGTTCCGCTACACACTAATTACAGACATCTTATGAGTGGCGTCCACTACAATAGAACACTTAAGTGTACATTGCTAAAGATATCGTAGTTAGCACTTGAACAAAAATTTGCATCAAATCAACTAATCTAATTTCTCCACTTAGAAACTTATGCCTAACTGCAATGTGGTTGACTCGATGAATACATGGAATATAACTTTTCCTCATAGATACCGCATTTCATAACTGAGTTCGTTACTGTAAATTCTTTTACATTTATAAACTTGGCCTTGAAATGCCGACCACTTCAATAGATAATTTATTTCAGCAGGACAATCATTGACAAAAGCTTACTCCATGGCTATGAACATTCTTTTTTTACGTTACTAGGTCTCTGAGCTTTCGTTTCTGAAAGCTATGTTTAACACACTGTAAGCCAACAGTGTTTTTTTATATCGGAAGACAGGTATCACTAGCTAAGTTTCTAGAATTTCATCCCATCAGTGTATCCCACGTCAACAAAACACAAGATCATTCATTTGATCTCACCCAGCGAGCAGGGAGCACAAACACTTAGGTGGATCTCATGGTATCCCGGTTGAACACACGGACAGTGGTGATCGCCTGCTACTTATTATTCCTGCCAAATACAGACTTTAAGCCTAAAGTGAGACATTGTCTAACCTAGTGACTCCAAACATCAGAACAGCGTTGAGAAAAATTGATCATATCACCAGTCGTTACTGGAGAGGCCCGACAGAATTTTGCCGCTCCTTCCAAGACAAATCCTTGGACTGGGATCATACACGAGTGCGAGAAAGCAACGCATCTTACTGGACGTAGGGAAATCACAACAAGAAGATCCCTTAAATATTGTTTTGAAGAAGAAAAATGTCAAGGACAAATCAAGGTAAGAGTTAGCTTATCGCCTAGTTGATCAGGGAAAAATAGTTAGCCTTGAAGAAGCTTGGAATGATATCCAAACACTTGTTAGTACATCAATAACATCTCCCAATAAATTGTATAGAAAATGTAAGCCAGTAGATTTCGTTGCTATTTAATAAATTGATAGATGTTCCAAAGCTCAACTAAGCAGGCCCAAAAAGCGGTAAAAATAGGCAACAACTCGGACACAAAAGAGAAAAATTTCGACGGGATGATCTTGAGCAATAGTGTGAGAAAAAATCAAAAGAGACTGGTGAGGCAGCGGCGCCAGACAGCACTAAAAAACTATTCCGATTCATCAAGGAAACAGGTATTAAAAAGGGAACCATTTTTAGACTACCTCGCAAAAACACAACCACCATTCCCTCTGTTTAGAAGTTAAGACTGGTGGGTAGGAAATTTCGGGAAACAGTTCGTCTGCCTCCCGCTGTCTACTATTACTTATTTTCAAACAACCTAATTTAGAGATGCGATTGGGCCCTCGACTCTGGCTGGGATTTAATAGGTTATATCTAATCTACAGCGAGGAAAAACAGGAGGCTCTTACTGATTAGTCCCGACGATCTTCAGCAGTGGAGGTCCAGTTTTAGTAGTAAATTCGACGCAGATATCAGCTGACGTTTGGGAACTAAAGTCACTCAGGTTTAGACAAAATGACTGTCTACAAACCAAAGGGCCTGTATGCAGCTCACCAATCTTCTCTGCACTACTTTATAGCTGAGAAACGTGGTCTATGACAGTAGAAGACATGAATGGGCTGCAGGCTTTTGACCATAAGTATCTTCAAAGCACTACTCGCATGTTGTGGAACGACCGAGTGAACAATGCTGAGGTTAGGAATAGGTTATTAGACAAAGATGGTCAACCGGTTCGTGAGGTTGTGAATCCTTATCGACTGAAGTAATTGAGACATGTGTTGTGTATACTCAGACACCCTCTACCTCGAAGTTCAATATTGACTGGAGCAAGACTAAATCGGAATAAATCTAAGAACGGTCAAATCAAGACGTGAAACCAACCCGAGGTAGGTTACTGTTGGTCTAACCTATGTGTGGTGGATGCAGTTCACCTGGTCGGGGTCCACAAAATAACATATTAGTATTTTGAGACATTGAATAAAACGGCTTCGAATCGTTGACAATAGTGCACATCCATTTATTCTTTATCTTTCTTTAGATTTTGAGTTTTAGTATCTCTCCATACATATATTTACGTTCCTTCTTCTCGAGCCATATTTTCAACCTTTAGCCTTTGTCAATAACATTGATACTACTATTATTTCGACTCCTTTGGTATTCATCTTATTACTTTCGATTCGTCATGCAAATGTGGCTTGGCAATTTAGGCCGACGCATATTTGTCTTTAGCCTTACTTTGTTGTTTTCTGTGTTTTAAGACTTTCTATGTAAACTAGTTTTTTATTCTCTTTGAGATTTATTTGGAAATCGTTGTTTTATGTTACTGTGTGATATCTTGTTTTGTTTGTAGTTTTAAGCTTCTTAGTATGATGATTATTTTCATAAAGGCTTACTTAATTTTATCGAAACAACTGACTAATTTGAACACTGTTTTTTTTATCGCAGATTTCGCACTTGAAATTTATAAATAGTTTGTAGTAGTTGTTTCCATTGATAATGTGATCTTATTTCATGTTGTCTTAAAGGTGAATGATCAACGGTGTTTCACACAAATAGTTGTTTAATTTTGTTCTACAATGAGTGATAACGATGAGAAGTATTTGGATGAAATTGCCGTAAAGAATTTCATTCGATACTTACAATTTGTGACAGTTCATCCCAATCCATGCTATCGACCTGCTGTTGAGTGGCTTGTTAAATTGGGTCAAGAATTACAGCTCATGTGCAATGTCGTTGAAATCGTTCCAGATAATCCTATTGTCATCATGCGTTGGGATGGATATCAACCGGAATTACCAGCAATCATGTTAAATTCACATATGGACGTAGTACCAGTAGTCGAAGAAAAATGGTCATATCCTCCATTCAGTGGTACAATTACACCTGATGGTAAAATATACGGTCGAGGTACTCAGGTAATTAAATCTCATGATTATACTGTTCGTTAGAGCAGCATAAATATTCACTTTTTACTCAAATGTAAATAGTTATTATGATAAACTTATTATAGTTGAACTAGTAGATCGATATGATTGTAGTTATAAGAAGTATTTTACTGTAATTTTTGTTGTTGCATGTTAGTAACTAGTTTTCTGTGCAGGCTTGGTTTGACCATTCGTGTAATCGTATACATCTTATGGAATTTGAGTTATATAGGTGGTCGTCTACACGTTAATACAAGTCTTCGCTTTTAACAGAAAGAGCTGCTACTTTAACATTTGTTCGTGAAACAATCGGCGAATTTTCCGTAAATCCCGAGTGACCGCGTGTCAAACTAGTCATCATCAACTTAGGACCTTGCAAAATTGTACACTAACCCCAATTCCCATACCATATCAGCACCTTGCGGGAAAATGCACTAAATCAACAGCAAGGCAGTCGGGGTAGTATTTGGAACCTAAATTCTGTGGGATTATAGATTGACTAGTGGCACACTTCAGTCGTATTTAAGCTGAAACTGGTGCGAAAATTTATTGTATTAACGCATAAGATTGTCCAATTTACCTATATATGCATGGCTTATTTTGTCTATTGTGGTGCAATAATTATGGATTTAGAACTGTAAAGTTTGGTGATCGAGTTAGTGGAAACAATTATTTCTTCAGGTATTCCTTGTTCTTAAATACTGAATACATTCTGCACTCCTGCGTCCTATCTTGAGCCATGACACCTAAGGCTGCCGGTTATCAGTCACGATTATTGCTCAGACTCTATCCAGGTAGTTTTTACATACACACACAGCCTAAACCAATGGTCATTGACTTAATATACTGGGACCTCAACTTAATTTGTCTGCCTTAGCTTTCTTATTCATTTTGGCTACAATCCCATCTAACAATCTTGTGGAATCTTTAAACTGTGTAAATACGTATTGATATTTTTTCTAGTCTGTAAACTAGATTCTGAAAGGAAACATTAAGAACATCCCTTTTGAAAGTGAACGTTTCATTCAATAAAAATTTTAATAGTTGAGATCATGAGTCAACTGAAGCTAGACCACCATGGAAAACCTGAAAGCATTGAACGGCCGTTTCGTCCCACTGTGGGACTCCTCAACAATGCGCATCCACGATCTCGCCTCGCGGAATTCGAATCCAGGACCTACCAGTTTCGCGCGCGAGCGCTTAACCTCTAGACCACTGAGCCGGCATCCAACGGTGGTAATGTCTAACTCCAACTAGTCCGCGAAATTGAGCGACACATCCACCATCTCGCGAGGTGAGATCGTGGATGCGCACTGTTGAGGATTCGCACAGTAGGACGAAAAGGCCGTCCAGCGCTTCCAGGTTTTCTATGGTGGTCTAGATTCAATTGGCTCATGATCTCAACTACTAAAATTACTATAATATCCACAACAAACCCCCTCTGATAATAAAAATTGTGTTACTATGTTTTTAATCAGATGAGTTCATATTTTACACCTTGAAAACTATTCCTTACCTCGATAGTTTCAAATAAATTGA